TTTGCCACAGAGAGGTTACGATAACCCTCCGAGAAACGGGAAACCCCCAACGCCCCCCATAGATTAATCTGTTCCTACACATTGTTCTATAGAACCTTGCTGCTAATGCTTTTATCCTCAACTGCCCTTTAATCTCCCTCTTTCCCCAAGAAACATGCAAATAATCCGCCATAACATACATCAAAGCCCTTCCCACTTCTCGTGATACCCCACTGACATCCATCGACAAGGTCCTAAGAAACGACCAACTGCCCCCCCAACAGCCTGATAACACCCGCCATCCAGACCCTCACCCCCCCCAAAGACGGGCAAAAATATGCCACATGATAGGCAGTTTCCTACTCCCCACAGAACAAGCATGTTGCCTCCCTCACCAGCCCCATGTTATGCAACACATGCTTGGATGCTACTACCCCCATGAGGAAATGGTATACTAACTCCCTGACCCTTGCTGGTATCCTAAGCAGCCTGAACTCCCTCCATATCACCTGCCAACTATACATGGGGTACACGGCAACCCCCTGTAAGACACCCCTTCCCCACACCACACCCACCAACGTTTTAATCCTCAAAATTGAAACCTGTCGCACTGTCAACAAGAACCTCAGCAAATCCTCACAATTCCTCAAGTCCCTGCCACTCCACCAATTTCTAGCATCCCTCATCACCCTATCCATCCTAACACCCCCCCTCCCCCCACCCTAAGATACCTCTGCTTAATATATAAGGCCATCACCCTAGGCCCCAAAGCCAACAATCCTAGGCCCCCCCGTTTCACGTCCGTCATAACCACCTCCTTAGACAACCAGGCTCTCCCAAATCCCCACACAAACCTCAAAACCCTCCTCTGTATTACCTGAATGTCCTGCATCCGCAAAGGGAACACCTCTGCCACACCCCATACCTTACTATACACCAGCGAATTAATAACCAAAGCCCTCTGCTGTAATGCCACTTCACTAACCCTCAAACCTTTAAGCTTGCCTATAACCCTATTCGTGACTAGTTCAGAGTTGATCCTCCTGCACTCCTGCACCTGCGCCATATACCATACCCCACAAACCCTAAGTCTGTCACCAACTGTCCATCCCATCTCCTCCCCCAATCTCCCCCCAACCCAAGTCCCTACCTCCAACAACCTCGACTTTGCAAGATTAACTTCCATACCCAAAACATCCCCAAAACTCTTAATCACCTCACCCACCCTTCTTAAAGCCCCCCCCACTCATTACTAGAACAGTGGTGTCATCAACATAACCCACAATTCCCTCCATGCATCCCCCCTCTACCCCCCACAATTCCTCCTCCACAGCCTCAAAGAAAGGATGCTGCACACATGCAAAGAGCAACTGTGAGAGCGGGCAACCCTGCCTTAAGCCCTGTTCCATCAGCACCGGCTTCCCCATCCTTCCATTAACCTGCACCCTCAAGACTGCCCCCTCATATAGAGTGTGCACCCATCTCACTACTCCCCCCCCTCCAAAACCCAACTTCTCCAAACAGACCCATAAAAATTCCCTCTGCACACAGTCATAAGCCTGCGCCCAATCCAAACCTAGGACGCCCCCTCCCAGGCAATTCTCTATAAAATCCCTTATCCTACTGTGCCCATTCTTCATGCTTCATCCCGGTATCCCATACTGACCCCTATGTATGACAGCCCCAATTACCTTCTTTAATCTATTACGCAATATCTTTGCAAAAAATTTATAATCTGAACACATTAATGACAACGGACGATAATCACCCAAACCCTTCCCCTCTCTCCCCTTCGGCACCAAGACAACAACCCCAATTCTCTGTGTTCACCCCATCCTACCACTACTCAACATATAATTCAGAACTACCACTAGGCACCCCCTCAGACTCTCCCAATGTGCTCTATAAAAATCATTAGATAAACCATCTATTCCTGGTGCCTTCCCCTGACTCAACCCATTCACAACCTCCTCCACCTCTGCCTCCTTAATGCTGCCCTCCAACATGTCCTGGTCCCCATGCCCCAAACCCAGATGAGCCCCGATAACTCCAAATGAATCCAACCCAACAACCCCTTCCCTCCTCTTCCATTTCTCCCGAAACCAATAATCTGCATACCTACTGATACTGTCTGTATTAGAAAGACCCTGACCCTGCACATAACCCCCCCTCCCCCACCACTAAATGTGCCACAGTAGTCCTCAACTGTCTGTCCTTGAATTTCCTTAGTACATACCCGGATGGCCTGTCACCTTTTAAGACGTCCTCCAAGCCTGCCCTGACTCTGAGTGCATCAAACCGTTCGTTATGAATCTCCACTAAACGACTTCTAAGTTCCCCCATAACACCACTCACACCTTCCCTACCCCCCCATAACAATCCTTCAACTGCCCCTCTAAGTAATTCTGCAATCCAAACCGCCAGCGTGCCCGTTCCCTGCCACGCACCTTGAAAAATCCTGCAATCTCCACCTTTGCATACAACTCCCACCAATCAAGCAAATTCTTATCCTCATCCCTAGCCTCCCAAACACCTTGCCACCAGTCCTGAAAGGACAAACCTAGATCCTCCTCCTGTAAAAGCCGCACATTCAATTTCCAATAACTCGGAAATATACGCGGAATACCATCTACCCTAAGGTCAGCCAACACTGCCCTGTGATCAGACAAACCTACGTCAATAGTCCTAACCCTCTCCACACCCATCCCCTGCATAACATAAATCCTATCCAACTGTGCTTCATAACTCCCCTGCACATAGGTGTGTTCCACCTGATATCCCCCCTGCCCACCACATCAACCACCCGCCACATCCCGTAAAGCATCCCTTAAAACACTCAACACACACCCTGCACCCCTAGGTATCACATCTCCATGCCGAATCACACAATTCCAATCTCCTCCAACTATCGAAATAGCAGGTAAACCCCTGAGATAGTAAAACAAAACTTCCCTAACAAAGTATGCTTTTACCCTCATATTGCTAATTGCTGGCATATAAACCCCCACAAAACATACCCTACTCTCCCCCAATACCCATCCACCTGAACAACCCTCCCCCCCCCTCCTCCCACCCCATGACACGCAATGGGCTGGTCTAGTTTACCAATTCAGCCACTCCTCCCTTAAAATGCAAAGCCAAACTTACAAACATCTTATATCCCCTCAATTGCAACTCACATCCTGACCTATGGTTATGCTCTTGCAAGAAACAAATGTCCACGTCAAACCTTCACAAAAACCACTCCAACCAGACCCTTTTGACTTCATTCTTGAGACCATTAACGTTTAGAGTCACACACCTGAATGTTCAAGGAAAGGCGGCTTACCTCTGTGCCGCTGTGGCTTGCTCACACTCCCTTTTAAGCTGCTCACACTCTCCTTACCATTCTTCTTAAGCAGACCCCCACCCCCCATGACCCACCCCACCCGATTTCCCCTCTACACCCCCCCTGTAGTGGTTTTCCCTACCACATCTGCCCATGCCTTCTTACCTGGTCTCTGCCCAGGTGTCAATACTTCGTCCAATTCAGACGACCCTGCAGGCCGCTTCCTAGAGCTACCACCCAAACTCATATCTTCCTCAGGTGCATCCTCCCGATGTACCTCAGCTACCACAACTGTTTCCTGGCCTTGCTCATCCAAGACTTCCACTTTCCCCTGCAGCCCTTCCATCTTCTGCACATCACTGGCCCTTCCATCCAGGTCCTCTCCGACCAAAGCATCCTCCAAGAAATCCTGTAGCACACTCCAATAACAACTCCTACATCGACGTTGCCCCTCCCTCCACCGCCACAGGCCTTGGTGGAACCTCACTAGCCTCCTCCGGGAGTGTGACACACGTCCCCAACAGGTCCCCCTCCTTCTCCACCTCTTCACTCCAGAGAGCCGTCCCATTCCTCGCTGTTACCACCTTACTCAGCTGTCGTTGGCACACTTGGGGCAGCTCTACTTACACACTGCGCCGCCATGTGCTCGTACGAGTCACAAAGACGGCACGTCCTCCTTTGCCCCGCGTAATGCACATAGACTTGAGTTCTGTATCCAGTCAACAGAACAAATGAAGGTATAGGCCTCTTCAATGTCATCTTGAGGGTGTAGGAACCTTCCGGGAGGCCTTCGTATGGGCCATCCCTCCATACCCCTCCTCTAGCCTCATGAACAACACCGTAGTCGCTGAAGACGTCCTCAATTCCAAACTTCGTCACCTCAAACGGTACATTCCGTACCCTAACCCATGTGAAGTATGTAGACACATCATGCATACACACCTCCATCATCGAGTTAAGGTACATCCTTCGTTCCTGGTATTCAGCCACCATACTACTGTAGAAACTGGCCCTCATAAACTTCACGAAGACTCTTCTCAAACCATTGAGGGCAACACCATACAGCTCCTCATTAGGGATGCCATAGAGATCTCTAATAATAGCTGGAAGGAGCACATTCATCGTAGCAGTGCTCAACAATCCCCGTATCAGCTCGATGCAAACAGTGTTAACCCTCCTGCCGGCACGATCCGCCATCTTGGAACACTGAAAACTGTGCAGAAACCAGGTGATTCAGGAGCCACTGTGCAGCCTGTCTGCATGGCCCAAGACTGATGTGGACAATGAACGAGCGATAATTACAGTAGTTAGACAATCAAGACTTGAACTATGAGCACATAATAATAATATATGAATGTTACATCCTACCTAACAATATAACTAAGTCAAATAATAATATAAAGCAATATATTTACGATTTAGCTATTATCACAAATATAAGCAATATAAAAATATATGAAAAGGTAATATACATTATATACATTGTGACCCCTTCAGGGTCGCAACAGTGTGTGTGTGTGTGTGTGTGTGTGTGTGTGTGTGTGTGTGTGTGTGTGTGTGTGTGTGTGTGTGTGTGTGTGTGTGTGTGTGTGTGTGCGTGTGTGCGTGTGTGTGTTAATACTTAAAAACTTAAAAATCATATTTTATTTAAAAGTATGTTTTTCCAACAATTAGTAGTCTTTACCTTTAAATCTCAGAATTTCTCATTAGAGAGCAAAATGTGGTGAGTGAGACAGACCTCAGAGGTGACGGTGGAGGTGAAAGTTGAGTTGTCAAAGCGCCACTGAGTGCAGGTGACCTGTCGCAGGTCGAGTGTGTCAGAGTCTCTCACCAGGTACACGCACTCACTCCTGGTAAAGATTAACTAGTAAGAATAGTGTAAGAAGCGCCTCTCAGTGATACCAAAGACTCAGGTATTTAATAACTGTTTATGGGACTGTTTAATTATGTAGACTCCGTTAGTGACTTTCTGTTTCACTCATCAGAAAGTTCCTTGACAGGGTTGGATAGTTAGCTTGACAGTGGCAGGTTCTGTCACTGATCCATTCTGTGAATGAACCAATCGTGGCTCCTGCAACCACATATACATGTAGATGATCACATACACACACACACACACACACCAGTTTGGAATCCACACCTAGTCAAGCACGTCAAGAAATTAGAGAAAGTGCAAAGGTTTGCAACAAGACTAGTCCCAGAGCTACGGGGATTGTCCTATGAAGAAAGGTTGAGGGAAATCGGCCTGACGACACTGGAGGCCAGGAGGGTCAGGGGAGACATGATAACGACATATAAAATACTGCGTGGAATAGACGAGGTGGACAAAGACGGGATGTTCCAGAGATGGGACACAGACACAAGAGGTCACAATTGGAAGTTGGAGACTCAGATGAATCAAAGGGATGTTAGGAAGTATTTCTTCAGTCATAGAGTAGTCAGGCCACGGAATAGCCTAGAAAGTGATGTGGCGAGGTATGATAGAGCTCATGGGGCAGGGAGAGAGAGGACCTAGTAGCAATCAGCGAAGAGGCGGGGCCAGGAGCTGTGACTCGACCCCTGCAACCACAAATAGGTGAGTACAAATAGGTGAGTACACACGAGGAGGCTGGGCCAGGAGCTGAGAATCGACCCTTGCAACCACGAATAGGTAAGTACAAATTGTAAATACACACAAACACAAACTTCACACAACAGGCAAGTGTCTATCGACAAGTGCATTTGAGAGCTGATAACTAACACACAGGTTATCATAAAATATTCGAGTTACCCCTGAAATCACCAGGTCAAAAATACTGCATTTGACGTGGCCAAAATTCAAAATATAAGGACAAAGATAAAAATACATTTACAATCACATCGTTACGATCATGAGGCAATATTAAACCCATGAAGAGAAATGGGAAAGATTGCGGTAACCAATAGTTGATCCAAGGAAGAGGAGTCTGTCTCTAGGTTAAACTCCAATAAGAAAGTCATGTACTATTACCTGTAATTAACCTCCAGAATGTTGATATTATTAAGTTACAAGAAGACAACCAAGCAGTGTTATACTGGGTCCAGGAGCTACTGTCTGACTTTCTCAACACCAAAATAATCACATTATATTCCATAACCAACTGTATTGATATATTCTTCGTGTAGATATATATAAACATAAGGAAACTTACATGATTCATTACCTTTGTAACTTGTGAGTTCAGCACCTTTGTAACTTGTGAGTTCATTACCTTTGTAACTTGTGAGTTCATTACCTTTGTAACTTGTGAGTTCAGTACCTTTGTAACTTGTGAGTTCAGTACCTTTGTAACTTGTGAGTTCAGCACCTTTGTAACTTGTGAGTTCAGCACCTTTGTAACTTGTGAGTTCAGCACCTTTGTAACTTGTGAGTTCATTACCTTTGTAACTTGTGAGTTCATTACCTTTGTAACTTGTGAGTTCAGCACCTTTGTAACTTGTGAGTTCATTACCTTTGTAACTTGTGAGTTCAGCACCTTTGTAACTTGTGAGTTCAGTACCTTGTAACTTGTGAGTTCAGCAGCCTTTGTAACTTGTGAGTTCATTACCTTTGTAACTTGTGAGTTCATTACCTTTGTAACTTGTGAGTTCAGCACCTTTGTAACTTGTGAGTTCAGCACCTTTGTAACTTGTGAGTTCAGCACCTTTGTAACTTGTGAGTTCAGTACCTTTGTAACTTGTGAGTTCATTACCTTTGTAACTTGTGAGTTCATTACCTTTGTAACTTGTGAGTTCAGTACCTTTGTAACTTGTGAGTTCAGTACCTTTGTAACTTGTGAGTTCAGTACCTTTGTAACTTGTGAGTTCAGTACCTTTGTAACTTGTGAGTATCATTACCTTTGTAACTGTGAGTTCATTGCCTTTGTAACTTGTGAGTTCAGTACCTTTGTAACTTGTGAGTTCATTACATTTGTAACTTGTGAGTTCAGTACCTTTGTAACTTGTGAGTTCATTACCTTTGTAACTTGTGAGTTCAGTACCTTTGTAACTTGTGAGTTCATACCTTTGTAACTTGTGAGTTCAGTACCTTGTTAACTTGTGAGTTCATTACCTTTGTAACTTGTGAGTTCAGTACCTTGTAACTTGTGAGTTCATTACCTTGTAACTTGTGAGTTCAGTACCTTTGTAACTTGTGAGTTCAGCACCTTTGTAACTTGTGAGTTCAGCACCTTTGTAACTTGTGAGTTCATTACCTTTGTAACTTGTGAGTTCAGTACCTTTGTAACTTGTGAGTTCAGCACCTTTGTAACTTGTGAGTTCAGTACCTTTGTAACTTGTGAGTTCATTACCTTTGTAACTTGTGAGTTCATTACCTTTGTAACTTGTGAGTTCAGTACCTTTGTAACTTGTGAGTTCATTACCTTTGTAACTTGTGAGTTCAGCACCTTTGTAACTTGTGAGTTCAGCACCTTTGTAACTTGTGAGTTCATTACCTTTGTAACTTGTGAGTTCAGCACCTTTGTAACTTGTGAGTTCAGTACCTTTGTAACTTGTGAGTTCATTACCTTTGTAACTTGTGAGTTCATTACCTTTGTAACTTGTGAGTTCATTACCTTTGTAACTTGTGAGTTCATTACCTTTGTAACTTGTGAGTTCAGCACCTTTGTAACTTGTGAGTTCATTACCTTGTAACTTGTGAGTTCAGCACATTTGTAACTTGTGAGTTCATTACCTTTGTAACTTGTGAGTTCAGTACCTTTGTAACTTGTGAGTTCATTACCTTTGTAACTTGTGAGTTCATTACCTTTGTAACTTGTGAGTTCATTACCTTTGTAACTTGTGAGTTCATACCTTTGTAACTTGTGAGTTCATTACCTTTGTAACTTGTGAGTTCATTACCTTTGTAACTTGTGAGTTCATTGCCTTTGTAACTTGTGAGTTCATTACCTTTGTAACTTGTGAGTTCAGTACCTTTGTAACTTGTGAGTTCATTACCTTTGTAACTTGTGAGTTCATTACCTTTGTAACTTGTGAGTTCATTACCTTTGTAACTTGTGAGTTCATTACCTTTGTAACTTGTGAGTTCATTACCTTTGTAACTTGTGAGTTCATATACCTTTGTAACTTGTGAGTTCATTACCTTTGTAACTTGTGAGTTCATTGCCTTTGTAACTTGTGAGTTCAGTACCTTTGTAACTTGTGAGTTCATTACATTTGTAACTTGTGAGTTCATTACCTTTGTAACTTGTGAGTTCATTACATTTGTAACTTGTGAGTTCAGTACCTTTGTAACTTGTGATTCAGTACCTTTGTAACTTGTGAGTTCATTACATTTGTAACTTGTGAGTTCATTACCTTTGTAACTTGTGAGTTCATTACCTTTGTAACTTGTGAGTTCATTACCTTTGTAACTTGAGAGTTCATTACCTTTGTAACTTGTGAGTTCATTACCTTTGTAACTTGTGAGTTCATTGCCTTTGTAACTTGTGAGTTCAGTACCTTTGTAACTTGTGAGTTCATTACATTTGTAACTTGTGAGTTCAGTACCTTTGTAACTTGTGAGTTCAGTACCTTTGTAACTTGTGTGTTCAGTACCTTCGTAACTTGTGAGTTCATTACCTTTGTAACTTGTGAATTCAGTAACTTTGTAACTTGTGAGTTCAGTACCTTTGTAACTTGTGAGTTCATTACCTTTGTAACTTGTGAGTTCAGTACCTTTGTAACTTGTGAGTTCATTACCTTGTAACTTGTGAGTTCAGTACCTTTGTAACTTGTGAGTTCAGTACCTTTGTAACTTGTGAGTTCAGTACCTTTGTAACTTGTGAGTTCAGTACCTTTGTAACTTGTGAGTTCAGTACCTTTGTAACTTGTGAGTTCATTACCTTTGTAACTTGTGAGTTCAGTACCTTTGTAACTTGTGAGTTCAGTACCTTTGTAACTTGCTCAGCTATCAAAACCTTGGAGTCCAGTCCCTGGACCCATTATGTACCTCTGTAATCTTTTGACTACCACCCACAGGATGGATATGGTGTGACTACCACCCACAGGATGGGTCTGGGGTGACTACCACCCACAGGATGGGTCTGGGGCGACTACCACCCACAGGATGGGTCTGGGGTGACTACCACCCACAGGATGGGTCTGGGGCGACTACCACCCACAGGATGGGTCTGGGGTGACTACCACCCACAGGATGGGTTGGGCGACTACCACCCACAGGATGGGTCTGGAGTGACTACCACCCACAGGATGGGTCTGGGGCGACTACCACCCACAGGATGGGTCTGGGGCGACTACCACCCACAGGATGGGTCTAGGGCGACTACCACCCACAGGATGGGTATGAGGTGACTACTACCCACAGGATGGGTATGGGGTGACTACTACCCACAGGATGGGTATGGGGTGACTACCACCCACAGGATGGGTCTGGGGCGACTACCACCCACAGGATGGGTATGGGGCGACTACCACCCACAGGATGGGTATGAGGTGACTACTACCCACAGGATGGGTATGGGGTGACTACCACCCACAGGATGGGTATGAGGTGACTACCACCCACAGGATGGGTCTGGGGCGACTACCACCCACAGAATGGGTCTGGGGCGACTACCACCCACAGGATGGGTCTGGGGTGACTACCACCCACAGGATGGGTATGAGGTGACTACTACCCACAGGATGGGTATGGGGTGACTACGACCCACAGTGATGGGTCTGGGGGCACTACCACCCACAGAGGGAATGAGGTGCTGGACTACCCCCAGGATGGGTATGGGGTGACTACCACCCACAGGATGGGTATGGGGTGACTACCACCCACAGGATGGGTATGGAGGTGACTACCACCCCAGGATGGGTCTGGGGGGACTACCACCCACAGGATGAG